AATAATATATATATCTATATACATAAATATATACGTATATATCACTATATATACCTATATATAAATAAAAATATTTAAAAAAAATTATATATATATATATTTATGTAATATTTTTACATAATTAGGTATCTTAATTACAATTAGCGGTACCTGCCTGACAACCCATGCCGAAAGTAAAGGGAATTTAATTTGCTAGCACTATATTTAACCTTATAACTTTCCAAGACACTATAAAACCTGTACATGGGGCGGTACTGTTCTACTCAGGTGACTTCGCTGAACACAAATATTAGTGTTTCAAAACAGTAAAATGTATTACAACGATATCGCCAGTAAAAGTGAAGTTTTTTGCATTTTTCACGCACAAACAGCACTTACACGGACGATATTATTGCTGCGATACGTTTTACTGTTTTGAAACACAAAAATTTGTGTTCAGCGAAGTCTCCCGAGTACAACAGTACCCCTCATGTACAGGTTTTATGGTGTTTTCAAAAGTTACAGCGTCAAATATAAGGCTTGTGTTTCATTTTTTTCACATTAAAATTCGCCAGATTGGTTAGGTTGCCTTTGAGCCTATGGTAGCCCAAGAATGAAAATTACCCCTATGATGGCATACCATTTGCAAAAGAAGACAACTCAAGGTATTGTAAATGGGGTATGTCCAGTCTTTTTTAGTAGCCACTTAGTCACAAACACTGGCCAAAATTGGCATTTTTTGCATTTTTCACACACAAACAAATACCAACGCTAACTTTGGCCAGTGTTTGTGACCAAATGGCTACTAAAAAAGACTGGACATACCCTATTTACAATACCTTGGGTTGTCTACTATTGCAAATGGTATGCCATTATGGGTGTAAATTTCATTCCTGGGCTACTATACAGTCTCAAAGGCAACATAACCTATCTGGCGAATTTCAATTTCAAATGCAACGTGCTATATTTGACCCTGTAACTTTCCAAAATGCCATAAAACCTGTACATAGGGGGTACTGTTTTACACGTGAGACTTTGCTGAATACAAATATGTATATTGTATTGCAGTAAAAGCAAACAGTATTATGACATTGACAGTTAAAATGTCACGTAGAACTAAAAAAATAACAACATTTCTTATTTTCTCCCATTTTTTTCATATTAAATTATGTTTCACAGCTAAATATTTGATATTAAATGAAAGCCCTGTTTCCCCTGAATAAAATTATATATAATAAGGGTGGGTGCTTTTACTATGAAAGAGGTGAATTACGGTTGGACAGACATGTAGCGCAAATGCCAGGTTTTGTTTACATTTTGTTTTGTTCACAACGTGTACATTTGGCTCCGTCCTTAGACAATAGAGTAAGAGACTGACAGTGTTTGATGCGGTGTCAGGGAAGGACATCAATATGGTGGGTATCACTGAGAAAGAATGAAAAATGTTACGTGTTTGTGTATGTTTGTTTTTAATTAGTTCATGGTTAGTTTTCAATAGTTAATAGTTGTTTGTTTTACATTTATGAAACCATGTCTAGATATATAATAAATATTTATTCATATTATTAACCATCGTCATCTTATTGTTTCTCATAAAGACAGGCGACAGAAACAAAAAACAAAAACATGAGTGCACACCATTGTAGATATAATATATGGATGTTGCTGATTATATTGATGGGGGGTGGAGCGATGACGTGAGGACGCACGCAGATCACATCACGCGGTGTATGCAGGGCGCAAACTGAGTGAGGACCGGGAAAGACAACAGGAAATGTGGCGTTCAAACGAGAAAAACTGAAAGATCTATAGGAGTGCAAATGTATAATTTACTTAATAATTTTTCAAATACTCCGGTATAAATTAAAGAAAATAAAAAAGGAGCAAAAGAGAAGATAAAGGAAGAATATAAACCGTGTCTCATATAAAATATAAACAGTGAAAAATAAAGAGCTGGAGGAGACTGAAAAAAGAAAGAAGAAAGGAGGGAAAAGGGTAGAGAAAATGAAGAGAAAAGGGGGAAATCTCTTTTTTTTTTTTAAAGTGTATTTGGTATATACCACTGTATACCACTGATCCTCCCACCCGTGGCATCCCCAAAAAATGAGCCAGAGCAAGGTGGAAGAAAGGAAAAGAAAAAAGAAATAGATCAAAACACAGAAAAGCGGCTTTCAAACTTCTTCTCACCACGTGAAAAAATGGAAAGAAGAACTAGTCACCACCAAATATCGAGAAACGGGGAGGTTGAAGATATTAACGCTCAATCCCAAAAAGAATATGAAAGAGACACAAGAAAAAGTAGAACACACTATACTACAACATACAGCAAGACAAAATCGTATTTCTCGAGAAAAAAACAGATCACCTCAAATCAAAAATTATAGATCAGAGACTAGAGGACAGATCCCGAAGAAAGAATACCAGAATAAAAGGAATACCAGAGAATATAGCACAAGGTAATTTAGAGGCGTACTTGATAGAATTCTACCAATTTCTTGGTATACAGATGGAGAATAAAGCACACCTTATTGAAAGAGCTCACAGGATTCCTGAAGCAGCTGGCCTTTCCGATCATGTCTCTAGAGAAGTTATTGTTCGTTTACAATCATTCAGAACTAAGTTTGACGTATCTACAGCTATGAGAACAAAATTAATAAAAGGCTCAAAGCACAAAGAAATCCAGATATTTTACGATCTCTCCACAGCAACAAGAATTGCATGAACATTTTTTTCAGAATACACTTTCATTCTACGCAATAATATGATAAAATATTCATGGACTTTCCCAGTAGGTCTTAGATTAATGTATAAAGACAAGATGGAAAATTTTAAAGATCCAAAAAGTTTACAACAATAGCTCGCTAAAAATAAGATGAGTTAAAAAAGAAGAAAAAAGGAGAAAAAAAGAGAACAAAATAGAAAAAGTTGTTGTCGCTTCTGGACTGCTTGCTGCTTTCTCTATGAGGGGAGGAGAACTTTCTTTTTGTCTTTCTCGCTATTCCATCCTAGCACTTAGGACATACAAACATATGCACATATGGTGTGCGTATAAATGAATGATAAGAGGTCATCGAATTAAATTAGGATATCAAGAAAAAAAAAAGAAATTCAAGGAATTTAGCAGAGTTATATATAGTTAGACCGACTTGAGAAAATAAACAAGATCATTCTATCTGTAGATATCGATGAAAAATTGAAAAAGATCAGAGAAGAAATTAATGATATGCTGATCCAAAAAGCAAATGTTTCTATGGAGATAATTAAAGAAACTGGTATTATAAGGGGGAATAAAGCAGATAAGCTTCTTACCAGTAGATTAAAAAATGAAAAAGCTAGAAAAGTAATCTCTAAAATCGTTCAGGGAAATAATACTATTCTTCTCCTTCAAAGACAGGTCAAGAGTTTTACTCTAATCTATATAATTTACCAGTGGGAGTTCTTACCAGTATTTTTCACTATTTTAGGGAAACAGGTAACATTCCGCAAAAACTGCTTAGAGCCTATGTAGTACCTATCCCCAAACAAAATAAAAATCCAGAAATAATTGCAAACTGTAGGCCTATTTCTCTGTTAAACACAGATATAAAGTTATATTCTGCAGTAATTGCAGCAAGAATAGGTAATGTAATTCCTTTAATTATACGCTGGGATCAGGTGGGGTTTGTTGCAAGCAGATCTCCAGTGTATAATATTAGAAGATTAGTGGATGTGATGGACTTGACATGTAAAAAGGAATGTCCCTCCAGGCTCTGTCGCTAGACACCAAAAAGGCATTTGACAGAGTCAGGTAGGACTTCCTCGAAGCAGCTTTATTTGCATTTGGTTTTAGAGGAGACATTAATCGATCTATAATGGACCTGTTACCTCTCATATGGCTAAGGTGGTTGGTAGTGGGTTTTCCTCTGAATGGTTCCAGTTGAAAAATGGGACCAGACAGGGTTGCCCGCTATTGCCACTTTTATATCTTATTGCTATAGAACCATTAGCAATAGTGATTAGGGCTAACAGCCAAATTAAGGGACTGCGTATTTTGGAAGATAGTGTCGGGTTAACAATGTACGCTAAGGACATAGTACTCACGATTATTGATCCAATTAATTGAGAGACTCGGGATGTCATCAAAGAATCATTTAACTGTGTGGGGGTAAAGATCATGGGAGATCCTTCCAAAATAATGGAACTACATTTTTTGTCTTTATTAAAATAAACTGGTAGAAAGCTAAAGAAATGGAGGAATACTGAAGTATCATGGTAGGGCAGAAAAAAACACTGAAATCCTACATACTTCCCAAGTGGATCTACTTGTTTCGCATGGTGCCCATAGCATGTCCAGATAGCTGGTTATTATTAGTGCAGACCATTATTAATAAGTTTATCTGGCAGAGTAAGCGACCACAAATTAGTGTTAAAGTTTTGGCACTTTAGATTAAAATGGGAGGATTGGGTTTACCCCTTTTAAATGCTTATCATCAAGTTTGTAACATATCACATGCTCTTATTACTTAATCAGAAGATGCCAATCAGCAAATATAGTATAAAATCAAACAAGTATTGACCCAGAATATACAGCATAAAAACGATTGGAGCATGTTATTTTGGCAAGTGAGGAACAAAACCAGAAACACTCCAAAGGCTTAACTTGACAGCATGATCCTTGAAAATATAATAAAACAATGGGAGAATTGTAAAAAAACATTTTTTAATTCAAAATAAGCAAATTTCATGCCTTTCTTTAGAACATATTGTTTATAACATGGAGGATTTAAATCTACAAAAATGGATGTCGGGAGGCATTTTCAAAATAAGTAACTTAATGAGTAATAATAAATTAAAAGATTTTCACACATTGAGTATTGAATATAATTTAGATAGCAAAGACGTTTTCACTTATTTGAGAATAAAGGTTTTTTTTGTCAATCTATTTTTTATTGAGACATTTGTTATATGGGGTACAGAACAAAAACAGGGGGGTGTACGTTATTCTTACAGCGTGGGGTTACGGTAACACAATGCAACATCTCCTTTGAGTAACTGTCTCATTTTTATATTATTCAAGCTTATAAACAAGAATGGCATAGTATTAGTAAGCTAAGTATTCCTGTGAGGGACTGCCTAGAGCTAAAGTACAGGAGAAGTGAGGCAGGGCTGAGGCAGTGGTTATTACGTAGGGAACGTTTGATTGATTCCCGGCTGCCCAGGCGATTGACATCCATGCGATCATTCATTTGTACAATACACTGACTATGCTATGCTACCAAACATGTCTAAAAGGAGCAGTCATAGTATATGTCATAAAACAAGCTAGTAAATTAGGTGGACAGCGCTAAGAATTATTATAATAAAATCATACATACACAGGTAGCAGCAGATTTTGCAATTATGTGTCTTACTCTTAAAAAAGGAAATAAAAAGTACAATGATAGTGCAGTATGTTATGAATAATATGGTGATAAAGATATATTCCAAAGGGGCACTCACGTTTTCCAGAGCTTAAAAAGCTCTATTTTAGGAGCCTGGATGGAACAATCCCAGTCTAAGGATTTCTTTTTGCTGGTATCAGATTCCCAAGGTAGTGCGGTTCATCAAATGAAAAAAATAAGGATGTATACCAATGGTACAGTATGTATGTAAAAGTAGGAAAAGTAAATAATATTTGACCTACTTACATTTGCTAGAGCAATGACCTGCTCTAGTGTATGGAGCTTTAGGTGGAACAATCCCCACCTAGGGATATATGTAGATCCGGAACAGCAGAGTGATGGTGAGAGCATAAGGAGCTCAAGAGTGACTGGGTATTAAAACAGAATCTTTATTAATAAACAGAATGAATAAAACTATTTAAAAGTGAACTATATAGTTAAAAGAACGATAAATAAAACCAGTCCTTGTAGGCAATCCTTAATCTCCACTTGACATGTTTCGCTTACAGCTTTCTCAAAAGTGAAAAAGTGAAAGCTGTAAGGCCTTAGGCGAACCGGGTGTGTGTGGTATTCTCCTGCTCTCCAGCATTGACAGTTCATGCTGAGGTTAGTTGTGGGTCTGGATTGCTAGGTTTTCTCACTATTTTCGTTGATTATCAGGTCCAGGCTCAGGAGCTCACGGGTAGTGCGTCCGATCAGCTGCGCCCCCCGAATAAAGGGTTTTTTAAGCAAACATCTGGCTAATAAAAAAGATAAAGTGGAGGAATTAGAGAAATTATTTGAAAGAAAAATCTTAACGAAGTTGGTAGCTGGCTGTATAGATCTGGGTACAAGTGATCCTGCAATATATATTAAAAACTATTCTCAAGAAATGGGATTTGGATTTAAATACTCCAATTAGTTGTTAAGATTGGAGGAAGTCCTGGGAGGAGGCCTATAAAAACATTCACTGTCTTAACTTACGAGAGTGTAAATATAAACATTTAAACCGATGGTATCTGGCTCCATCCAGATTGTCTAAAATATATCCAGATAGAGATCATAGTTGTTGGAGATGTGGGGATCGAAAAGGGGAATATGTCCACATGTGGTGGGAGTGTCCCTCTATAGGACTGTTTTGGAATATGATCAGGAGCAAGATTCAAGTGCTTACTAAAAAAAAAAAAAATACGTAATTATAACCCTGGTCTATTTTTTACTACAATTGAATGTCAATTTTTTGGGGGGATGTGACGCCCCTTTAGTTACACATTTATTGCTAGCAGCTAAAATAACGATAGCTAAAAATTGGAAATCATTTAATACTCCAATCTGGTCTATGGTAAGGGAACAGCTCAAATATCAATTAAAAACAGAAAGATATAATTAGGGTTCAATATGACAAATTGAATTTATGGATAAATCAAATAGAACAACTATAAGATAAGTACAACTTTTTACTCAATTTTAAGACAGGGTTGGGTGTACGTTAATCATTAAAATTCTAAGGTGCAGGATTAGATTCTCTCTTAAGGGAAACCCCTCAGTTTTTTTATGTAAAGGGTAACTTAAAAAGTATGCTTGACCACACATCTCCCCACTGCCACATATCCACACTGCCACGCATCCACACACTGCCATCCTCCCACTGTCACACATACACACTCTGCCACCCTCCCCACTGCCACACATCTACACACTGCCACATATCCACACTGCCATGCATCCACACACTGCCATCCTCCCACTGTCACACATACACACTCTGCCACCCTCCCCACTGCCACACATCTACACACTGTCACTCTCCCAACTGCCACGCATCCACACACTGCCATCCTCCCACTGTCACACATACACACTCTGCCACCCTCCCCACTGCCACACATCCACACACTGTCATCCTCCCCACTGCCACGCATCCACACACTGCCATCCTCCCACTGTCACACATACACACTCTGCCACCCTCCCCACTGCCACACATCTACACACTGCCACATATCCACACTGCCATGCATCCACACACTGCCATCCTCCCACTGTCACACATACACACTCTGCCACCCTCCCCACTGCCACACATCTACACACTGTCACTCTCCCAACTGCCACGCATCCACACACTGCCATCCTCCCACTGTCACACATACACACTCTGCCACCCTCCCCACTGCCACACATCCACACACTGTCATCCTCCCCACTGCCACGCATCCACACACTGCCATCCTCCCACTGTCACACATACACACTCTGCCACCCTCCCCACTGCCACACATCTACACACTGCCACATATCCACACTGCCACGCATCCACACACTGCCATCCTCCCACTGTCACACATACACACTCTGCCACCCTCCCCACTGCCACACATCTACACACTGTCACTCTCCCAACTGTCACACATCCGCACACTGCCACCCTCCCCTGAAATGACGCACCTGTGACAGGGAGGGGTGTGAAACCAAGGAGCTGGCCTGGACTCCCAAATATACAATAGTTGTAATAGTTTTATTTAAAAACACCTCGCCTAGGCAAAAAATAATGGGGGTTTAGTTACATTATATGACCATATATTGCATAAGCCTGCCACAAGGTCAATGTACCCCATTCTTGGCAGGTCCTACACTAGCAGCTTAATGCTTGCTCTTATGACATTAATCCACTTACTTGGGAAATACTTCCTTAATGGGACTCTCTGCAGGTCAAGGTTAAATAGGGTCCTGGAATGAGGCACCTGTGACAGAGAAGGGTGCAAAACCAAGGAGTTGGCCTGGGACTCCCAAATATATAAATGAAACCAAGAGGGCTGCACTCACCTGAACATGCATACATTATAGGGTGCTGCTGGGGCCAAAATATACAAAATACAGAATCCAGCACACGCGCTTATTCACTAAACAATGATTTCAAATCTTGCAGATTGTAATAGTTTTATTTAAAAACACCTCACCTAGGCAAAAAATAATGGGGGTTTAGTTACATTATATGATCATATATTGCATACAATATATGCAATAATGGGGGTTACATTATATGATCACATACAGATGTACAAACACACAAATACAAACACTGCCACACATGCAGATACACACTGCCACACATACAGATGTACATGTAACACTGACATGCACACAGATAAAATTACACATAGAAATTCAAACAATGAAACACATACAGACACACAGACATACACATACACACACACACAGATATAATTATTACGTACACCCAAAAACATACATACAAATTTTAGCCAACCCCTAGTTTTCTAACTTTTGGGTGCAAGAGGGGGGCTCCTGCTGACAGGAGCTCTTTGGAGTTGAGGGCTTGCTCCTGCACATGATCGGCACTGCGGATGTCAGTTACGCCATTACAGAAATTTTTTTTGCGTACACCCAGGGGAACTGAATTGTACCCCTGGGGGTTGGGAACCCCTGCCCTAAGGCACAGGATGTTGCAGGAAATGCAGGATATAATTAATTTTAAATATGTCTGCCAAAATACAGTTAGGGCTTGGCAGTGTGATTAATGAACCACGCAATTATATAATCCAATAAAACCGGTTTCACAATATTTAAATCTACCTCCACAAATCTGTCATGTTTACACAAGCTGTTGCACACATTCAATGACAGAAGACGTTGATTTTTTTTTTTTTTTTTACATTCTTTATATGTTGTGCAATGGTACAGATATGAGTATGCAGTGACTTATGGCAGGAATGTAAGCATTGTATGGGAAACAGAGTTGCTTGTCTTGGTACGTTGCACATTTTTGAAATAAAACAAGATATGCCAAAAGATATAGAACAGGATATAAAACAAGATACAGGAAGTCGAGCTGAATATGTCTTAAGAGTCATCCTTAAGTGAACGCTCTTATGGTGCATGAATGGGTTGCATTTCTGATCCACAAGAGTACCCAGTATCTCCAGTTGCGCCGATGTAACTGATATTCCAAGGTGGGATTAGGATGTTGCGTTACCCCCCAGGCTTAAGTGGCCTACGGCAGTTCAATTTGGTCCCGTCCACCCGCTACTTCACTTCTGTCTCGTTTTATGTGTAAGGTCATAGCATGTGTTGGATAGGGGTGCAGTATGTGATATTTATATACATGGACGATTGCCTACTCGGGGGATAGTGCTTTTAGGCAAGGGTAGTGCACCTAACCCATTTCATTTTTAAGCTGTCCTAGGTTGTGATTGGCCATTCGTAAAATCTCAGTATCCAGTCTGCACATCCTGATGGCCAGGGTTTTGGGCTAAGTCTTAGCAGGCGTATGAGTGCGTGCTGTTGCCTCCTCAGAGGTATGGTGTGTCCGTCTGGGTGTGCACATGTCAGCTCAGGTCTATTCCTGTCTGGGTCGTACTGAGTGGGTTGCGGTCTCTCAGTGGCAAGTTGTCAGTTAATGATCCATGTGCCAGGTTGGCAGCGGTCTTAGTCTGGGCATGGTAAAAAGTTGATTATCACCTGTGGTATTGTACGTCTCGTACCTGTGGGGTGTTGGTGGATTGGGTGCTCTTGTCCGGGGGTACTTTTCATCCCTCCCTGGTGAGTTGGATGAGGAGGTTTTTGCGTAGTGTTGGCTGCATGTATGGGTTCCCTGGGCAACATTGTGGTCCTGTCGTGTTAGCAGTTTGTATGTTTCCGACATGTCGGTTGCTCATTGGCAGGTGAAGGGTTGGGGAGGATGGGCCAGTGGTGTCGGGGTTGTGTTCGGGGGTCTTTGCCACTGTGTGGTTGTTCGGCCTGGGCCATCTGTATGTGTGGTATGTTCCTCCTGAGTGGAGGAGTGTTGCATCCAGAAGCCAGGAGTGACGGAAGAGCATGAGGGTGAGGAGGAGGGGGTCAGGTCTGAAGGCAAGGGATGGGATCTAGTAGGAGAGGTGGGGTGTCAGCG